CGTGAGGGCTCCACAGGTCTATCCCAGGTGACCCCATCTCTATTCCTGGGCTCTGCTGCAATGGCCGAGCACATTCGTGAGTCACATGTTCCATTTACCCAAAGAGCCCTCGGTACGAGCAAACACTTGGACCTTCGGATCTTTCCAGGGCAGTAACAAAAGGCTGTCCAGCCATACCGTGCCCTTGACTTTCTCTCCAGCACATGCTTTCCTGACAGTGAGTCTCCTAATCTTAGCAGGTTTTGGAATCTGGACATGCTGAAATTTTCCCAAGTCATCAAGCTTCCTTTTTGCTTAACAGTTATTCCCTGAGTATATTGTTCCTCTCACATTTTGCTAGAACCATTCAGAGGAGTACACACCTTTAACTCTGCTTGGAAATCTCTCAGCTGCCGATCCGAGTTCACCACTCACAGGTCCTGCTTTCCACAAAGCTGTAGGACACGATTCCTGAGCTTCCCGCTGCTGCGTAACGATCAACCTCTTTCCTCCAGTTTTTATTAACTTCTCATTTCCTTCTGAGATGTCACCGGTAGCATCTCCACCAACAGCTGACTCAGGATGACGCAGGCGTCCTGATGATGACACAGCCTCCTCCACGCTGCTCACTTCCCTCTGACCCCCGTGGGCAGGGCCTTTGACGTCTGGATTTCTACTTAGAGTCTCTTTGGGGCCATCTTGCCTTTTTGCCATGCTCCCAAAATTCTTCAGCCTTTGCACATTACCCAGTTCCAAAGCCACTCCCAAGTTTTTGTCTGTTTGTTACAACAGCTCCCCACTTCCAGGGGCCAAAAGCTGTATAGGTTTCCTAAAAGCTGCTGTGCTAAATCACCGAAATTATAGCTTAATACAAGATAAATTCACCCTTTTACTGTTTGGAAGGTAGAAAGCCTAGAATGCAGTTTACTGGGCTGGAATCAAGTGTTCTCAGGGCCACCTTCTTCCTGGAAACCTAGAGGGAATTCAGTTCTCTCACTTCTTCACCTTCCAGAAGCCACCTGCACTCCATGGCTCCTAGACCTTTCCTCCCACTTCCAGGTCTATTGCTCCAACCTCTGCTTCCCTCATCAGATCTCCTCTCTCTGACCCTGATCCTTCCACCTCCCTCTTAAATAAAAGGAAATGTTGCAGTTAAATTGGGCAGATCAGATAACCCAGAACAATCTCCACAACGCAAGAACCTGAATCACATCTGGAAGACCATCATGGCACGTGAGGCAACACGTTTGCAGGTTCTGGGATTAGGACATGGGCATCTTTAAGGGGCCATTCTTGCTTTTATTTTTTATTTGTATTTTTTATTTCAATAGATTTTTGGGTAGCTGGTGGTGTTGAGTTACACGAAGGAGTTCGTCAGTGGTGATTTGTGAGATTTTGGTTCACCCAGTGTGTAATCTCTTATCTCTTACCCGCTTCCCACCCTTTCTCCCAAGTCCCCGAAGTCCATTGTATCATTCTTACGTCTTTGCATCCTCATGGCTCAGCTTCCACTTATGAGTGAGAACACACAACGTTCGGTTTCCCATTCCTGAGTTACTTCACTTAGAATAATGGTCTCAGGTCTACCCAGGTTGCCGTGAATGCCATTATTTAATTCGTGTCTATGGCTGAGTAGTATTCCATGGGGTGTGTGTGTGTGTGTGTGTGTGTGTGTGTGTGTCACATTTTCTTTACCCACTTGTTAATTGATGGATAGCTGGGCTGGTTCCACATTTTTTGCAACAGCAAATTGTGCTGCTATAAACATGCGTGTGCAAGTATCTTTTTCGTAGAGTGACTTCTTTTCCTCTGGGTAGATGCCCGGTAGTGGGCTTGCTGGATCACATGGTAGTTCTGCTTTTAGTTCTTTAAGGAATTTCCACGCTGTTTTCTGCAGCAGCTGTACTAGTTTACATTCCCACCAGCAGTGTAGACGTGCTCCATGGGCCAGTCTTCTACTGACCACAATACTGTGCGCTATTGTCCCGATATCTCTATAGACAATAATGATAGGAGAGTGGAGCAACGAAGACTTTCAGATAATTAAAGTATGCTAAAGTCCTTGTGCTATTCCAGACAAGAAAAAAGAGACCAAGTTTGTACTCTGTTAGAAACAACATCTTGTTATAGAAAGATAAGCACTAACATTTAAAGATAGCTACTAAAAGATGGGAGATACCAAGTCAGTGGAGAAAAAGACAAGAATTTCTTTATGGAATAAAGGAAACTCTACCAAAATAACAAAGGGCAAGGAAAGAGGGAAAGAAAAGGCAAGATCACGAAGGATGTATGCAGTGGAACAGTAGAGAAAATTCTAAACCCATCAGGCACCAAGAAACATACACGTCTTAAACTCATGCAAGAAGAGCGGATGTCAGTTGGCTTCTCTTGCTGGTTGTGATGGTGCCAGTGGCCACGTGGTGGGATACTCTGTGGAGAGGCCCATGAGGCAAGGGGCTCAGGGTGTCCAACAGCTGAAGCTCCCATTAGCCCAGCAGGGTGAGTCCTGACAAGAAGCTCAGCGTGGGCCCTCCTGGGAGGACCTTGGGATGATCAGAGCTCTGCACGGGACGGAGGGTCCAAAGCTCCGGCCACACTGTGCACGGCTGCCTTACCCAAAACTGCTAGATTACAAATGTTGTCTGCTAAGTTTTAACTTCTTATTCTCAGGAAGGCTGCTCCTGAGAATTGTGAAAACATGTTTCTAACTCCACCTCCCTGCTCTGCAGAGCATGAAATTATACATCTTGTAGGACCCAGAAAGGCAGGACGCCTTTCAGCTGCCACCTCTCCGTTAGGGTCCAGCTCTTTGAGAGGAAGTTCTTTATGGTAACCTCCAAAGCCACACACAAATGTTTTAGGGTTTTTCCTAAGAAATGATGAATCAACTTTGGGAGGCCGAGGTGGGTGGATCACGAGGTCAAGAGATCGAGACCATCCTGGTCAACATGGTGAAACCCCGTCTCTACTAAAAATACAAAAAGTTAGCTGGGCATGGTGGTGCATGCCTGCAATCCCAGCTACTCAGGAGGCTGAGGCAGGAGAATTGCCTGAACTCAGGAGGTGGAGGTTGCAGTGAGCCGAGATCGCGCCATTGCATTCCAGCCTGGGTAACAAAAGCAAAACTCCATCTCAAAAAAAAAAAAAAAAGAAATGATAAATCAAAACCAAAGTACAGTGTGGTTTTATCACAGCTGCCCTGTGGAAATCGTCCCACCTCCTCCTTCCTCACCGGTCAAGTCAGTATTACCTGAGTCCTAATCAGGGACACTCAGAAACAGGCAAACCCCAGGGATAGAGTGCAGAGGATTTCCCTGAAGCTCACGGAGGCTAGAAAGCCTGAGAAAGCCTTTCTGCTCTGAGGTCAAGTTCCATCTCTCAAGATCTGAAGGCTGGTAAGGTGAAGCCTTCTGCAAAATAAAGACAGACAAGCATGTGCAGAGAACCCTTGATTTTAAAATTGCCCTTCTGGAGACCTGACACCATCCTAAAAGTGAACGCGTGCATTTCCAGACTTCAAGGAAAATGCTTATGAAACAGAAAATTAAGTGCCTACCTGTTCTAAATGAATGGTTTATTCAAACAAATTATATTGCATACTTTAGGTGAATTTGAAAGTTAGACCTCACATACGTCATATAATAATATTATATCTCTGTTCATATCTGAGGAAACAGATACAGAAACAGAAGTCTATTCATTAAAGCCAAACTGGAAATTCAGTTTTTTTTTTGAGACGGTGTCTTGCTCTGTCACGCAGGCTAGGGTGCAGTGGCATGATCTCTGCTCACTGCAACCTCCACCTCCTGGGTTCAGGTGATTCTCCTGCCTCAGTGTCCCAAGTAGCTGGACTGTAGGAGTCTGCCACTACACCTGGCTAACTTTTGTATTTTTAGTAGAGACAGGGTTTCACCATGTTGATCGCACTGGTTTTAAACTCCTGAATTCAAGCAATTCACCCTCCTTGGCCTCCCAAAGTGCTGGGATTGCAGGCATGAGCCACCATGCCCGACCCTGAAAATTCAATTTATAATTTAACCCATTATGGTAGTTAACAGAAATAAATTTTATTTGTGTCCAGAGAACCCGAAAAATTGCAAAGGATTTTCATATTTAGGGAAGGAGGCTATAAATGCAAGAAGAATTTGAGTTTGTCTATGCTACTGTTTGTTTATTTATTGATAGAGTCTTGCTCTGTCACCAGGCTGGAGTGCAGTGGTCCAGTCTCAGCTCACTGCACCTCCACCTCCCAGGTTCAAGTGATTCTTTTGCCTGAGCCTCCTGAGTAGTTGAGATTACAGGCATGCGCCACTACGCCTGGCTAATTTTTATATTTTTAGTAGAGATGGAGTTTAACTATGTTTGGCCAGGCTGGCCTGGAACTCCTGACCCCAGGTAATCCAACTGCCTCAGCCTCCCAAAAGGCTGGGATTACAGGCATGAGCTGCCACACCCGGTGATGCTACTGTATAGAAGAACCTACTTCTCCTCTTTGTAAGTCTTTACACGAATACTAGAATATACCCCGGCTAGCCTTCAGTCAGCTTCTGATGCAGGGCAAATGTGGGGAAAAGTCACAGCACAGGTTAGACTCCATCACACCCACAACAAGGTAAACTCGAACAGTGAAAACATGGGTGTACTAAAATAACCTTAGTGGACAGTCTCAGCCCTTGCAGGTAAACTGGAACAGATAAAGCGTGGGCGTACTAAAACAATCTTACAAATCATAGTGGACATTCTCAGCTCTAGCATACATGCCGAGAATTTTTTTTTTGGAACACAAAATATTAGCAGAGGTAATTTTAAAGATTATGTGGTCTAATCCATTAATTTCAGATGAGAACTGAGACTTAGAAAGATTTAAAAGGTGTGTCTAAGTTACATCATGGCACGGTGAGAACTAGAGTTCAGTCCTCATTCCTCCCTGTACACTGTTTCTTTACCTAAGTGTACATACAGAAAGAAATATAGCTTCTAATAACTTGTTAGACTACAGGATTTTTCCAATGGTGCAGTCATCCAAGTTTAATGAATTGATATTGTCATATTTTTAAAACTCCTAAAAATATATGCACACACATAAACACATCTTGATAATTCCTATGCATTGTGTACCCAGTGCTTACACAGAGAAGGTGCATTCTCTGGAGTTCACCCTGGGTCAGAGCCTTCTCACCTCCCAGCACGGCCAGAAGCTTAAGCCTCAGTCTCCCAGCTTGAGTGCACAGGGCAGGAGATGGGGTTCCCAGGACCACTCAGCAGTGGGGTTCCGTCAGCTCTCAGGACAGCTGAGTCCAGGCTGCAGGTTCTTCAGCACAGGCCAACTGCAGAGTGACACACACATTCTCTACACATGCCATGACTGAGTATGTCTGTTCTGAATTAGAGAAAATTATTACAATTAGAGAAAAAGGCATTTTCACCATGTTGATCAGGCTGGTCTTAGACGCCTGACCTCAAGCAATCCACTCTCCTTGGCCTCCCAAAGTGCTGGGATTACAGGAATTTTCTCTAATTTTAATAATTTTAAGGAAATAATTTTCCTTTAAAAAAGATAAGTAAATAGACTAGTTTCAGACGAAAACAACTTCAAAGGCTATCAGAAAATTCATGGAATTTTAAAGAGAGACTCTCACTCAAAAACATTCTCTAAAGTTGCCTGAACTTAAAAGCATTATTTTTCTGGAAACATGTTGTGTTATGAAAATATTTGGGAGTAAACTTATGGTTTGTACCTACTGCATCATGGGCGTGAGCTCACTGACTCCTTCCAGCCATCTACAAGGGAGTCACCACTACTGGTAGCTTACTAGGCTTGAAGAGGGGAAGTGACTTGCTCAGAATAGCACAGTTAAAAATGGCTGAACCCAGATGCAACAGGAAGAATGTGGAAAGAAAGCAGCAAAGCTTCTCTAACATGTCTGCCCAGGGTTGGGATAAAATCAGATTGACTGATACTCCACGGAGCAAAACACAGCCCACCAGAGGTTACTGCCCCTGTAAGAATATGTGTTTTAACCGACTCTTCCTAAAACACTGGTGGCCAAAGAGCACTAAATAATAATTTGCCTATCATTACTCGGTCTCTCTAGGATTCAAAGAGGGGTGTAAAGTGAAATGACCTATAAGACACCTGAGCCTAAAACAGAATCTAATAGACTCAGCTTTGAAGCACTCGTCGGGAGGACGAGCAATGATGGGCCGCCGCCATGCAAAGCATGGTTCCTCTACCATCTGCGGTCCACTTGCACAAATACCCTCGGTGAAATGCTCATTTCTCTCCACCCACTTTTGAGTAGGATGAAATGGCACATTCCATTTTCAAAGTGGGCAGCTTGCACATACCAGCAGTTCCAGGAATTTGGAAAACTATAACATGGACCCACTATAACCTGCTAGCTGAATTTACTCGCCCGGGTAACCCAGCTTGATAAGGGCTTGAGAGCCACAGGAATTTTAAATGCCACTTCAAAGCCAATGAGGAGCAGAATCAGCACTGACTTCTGCTTATGATAATGGCATTTGAAAGTCTAAAAATTACAAGGTTGTTTACAGAGATGGACTTATAAAATAATTGTATCTAATGTCCCGTAAACATAAAAGAAAGTTGTTTTGTAGTAGATGATTGAAAGAAAAAATTTCCTTAAAAAGAAGTAAATAGACTAGTTTCAGATAAAAACGGCTTCAAAGGCTATCAGAAAATGCATGGAATTTTAAAGAGGGACTCTCACTCAAAAAAAAAATCTCTAAAATTGCCTAAACTTAAAAGCACTATTTTTCTTGAGACATCTAATTTAGATTGCATGCCAAACCCTGTAATAAACCTCCTGCAAAGAAATAATGATAGACCATAGGCATTATATATGTTCAGTGTTCACTGCATGTGAATACAATGATTGACCTTCCATCAACAGGCAAGAGGCATAACTCCATGGCAACCATGAAATAAAGGTCACAATAATATTTTCCAAGGCAATTTTTGGCCCTCAGCGGGGATTCACTATTATACTTGGAGGCCATGCCACCTCAGAGTCAATGGGTAATGATCAAATTTCACCTTGAGCAGGTTCTTTGTTTGCTCTCTAGTCAAAAGCAGCTTGCCCGTAAGTGGTGGCTCCCATTCTTGCAAGATGCGTTTTTTCATCTTGTAATCAACCATTCCCTGTAGTGAAGGTGTGGATGGAGTGTGAGAGGCTCCTGCTGGTCTTGAAGGTGTTTGACTTGCATTAACCCTAGAGGTAGTATTTAGAGAGATTCTTAAAAGCTTTGTTTCTGTGACCAGCAAAACCTGGGTTTGACACTAAGGTCGCCTGTTTCAGCCAGAGACTTAACCTGTCTTTTTGCCCCAACAAATTGGGAAGGACAGCACCGGCTCTTACAGTTGCCGTGAGCATGAAAGGTGATGATTGGATAGCACCCAGCCCAGTGCCTGAAACTCTACAAGCACCCAACAAGCATACCTCGTCCCTTGCTGCTGCACATCTACCTCATCTCAGCAGTGTGCCCGTGTCACTTTTTTGGTAAGAGTGAATAGACGATAGAAACCATTTTCAAATATGAAATACGAATGTATTATTCAAACAATTTCCCCTGGCTCATATAGCTTGAAACAGAAATTATTTCATAGGTTGTGAAGTTGAATGAGACTTATTTCTAAGTTTCTATGTAAAATAGGAATCAAAATTATTATTATATCACTGGTACATATACACAAAATATACAGGTGCATAAATGTTAATGTGTGCATATATGTTTATATATAAATCCAGTCATTTTAAAGATCTTGGGTAAATGACATTAACAAGCAAATACACTGAATAATAAATATATTACAGAAGCAAAACTGCAGTATCAAAAGATAGCACTCTCGCAAGTATGGAGTTTGCAATAAAAGGCTTTTTTGTAGGCTAACGTCGAGACATTCACAGGAGTTTAACTGAAGAATCTGCAAAATTTAGCAGTCATTCCAATCCCTTCTATGTTAAGGATTACCCTTAAATCAATATCTCATTTTCTCTCTAAAACTTATTGGAAAAGAAAAAAAAAAGTCACAACAGAACCAGGATTGTTCCTCTAGCTAATGGTGTCACATGTAAAACGCTCAATCACAGAGTGACTTGAAAAGGCTCAAAGCAGAACTTCCAAATTTGGGCAGCCACTGCTTTCCCTGGAAACCGAAGGAAAGAGGCCCATCTCTAGTTGACAGTAAGTCTGAATTTTTATAAAACATTTTCTCTTTTAAAAATTCATAATATATTTTTCTTTTCTTTTTTCTTTTTGAGATAGAATTTCGCTCCTGTTGCCCAGGCTGGAGAGCATGACACGATCTCAGCTCACTGCAACCTCTACCTCTCGGGTTCAAGCAATTCTCCTCCTTCAGCCTCCTAGCCAGGATTACAGGTGCCAACCATCATTCCCGTCTAATTTTTGTATTTTTAGTAGAGACGGGGTTTCACCATGTTGGCCAGGCTGGTCTTGAATTCCTGACCTCGGGTGATCTGTCCACCTTGGTCTCGCAAAATGCTTCAATTTTGCATGAGTCACCGTGCCCGGCCAAAAATCCATAATGTATTTCAATCATGTCTTCTTTACCGTGAATCCTCCAAGACAAAACAACCGTATATATCATAAAATTTAGGTGATTTAGGTCTTTATTAAACAATCCTTCACTCTCTTCTCCCCTGAACAAGATGAGCCTCCTAAGGAATAAAGTCAGGACATTTTAAGAGTTTGGGCAAATTAATCATTTCACCTTCAATTTCGGAAAATAGGTGTTACGAAAGCAAAAGGAAATCTGATTTTCCAAGTGGTATGACACATCGGGAGAAACACAGCCTTCTAGGAAATACACACACTTGAAAGATGGATCACTCACCATTCTTAGGCACACAACAAGACACCGTGCGTGAACGCATGTGCGGGGCTGCTTTCTGTTGGTGGAGGCAGGTTGCTGTCCTTGCGAGCTAGCCAACAGCACTTGCATGCTAGCCTTCAAGGCCTAACCCTGGTTTCTGACATCACTTGGCAGGGTTGCTATGGGAACAGTGACTTTGTGTGTCCCTGAGGGAACAAAGGGAGGTTGCCGTTAGCGGACTTCAGAGCGGGCTTGGTGCCCTGTTGGTACAGGATGGCAGAACAGCATATTCAGTTATTGGCAAGGCAGAATTCCACTCATGCTTCAAGTATCTGCTTCCAGCAACATGCCGTTGAGTACACGGTATTGCCACAGCCTTGGGACAGGGGCCAGAGCAACATGGAGACTTTTCATGGCTGGGCCAGGATCGCCCGTCAAGACCAAGGGACAGGGTTTTAAACTGTGCCTTTTGTCTTCTGAATCCCAAGGGACAGCTGTTTCCAGGAAATTTCAGTTTCTGTTGTCATTTTTCTTTTTAATCTTGGGGTACATGTAAGAGTAATTTTAAAGTACAGATAGTCATCTGACTTTCTCAATTTAGCCTGAAACTAAAATTAGCTGAATTCAGGCGCATGGCTAATGGATACAAACCACCTTAGTGAAAAATCAGGGACAATGTGAGAAGCCTACTTAATAGATTTAATAATGACATATTACTTAATAATATTTAATAATAAGTTACAGCTATTACACCCAACAAGCTCCCTCATACAACTATATAACTGTTCATAGACAGAATATCTTCATTAGGACATTCCCTTTATCAATTTGACCTGAAAATATTTTGGCTTTATTATGCATAACTTTCATACTGTAAAGATACAAATCATAAGTATATTATTAATTTGGAAAAAAATAGCACACATAAAAATATTTAGATCAAGTAATAGAGCATCATTACCATTCCAGAACCTTCCTTTACACCCTTGCAATCATAGTCCTTCAAAAGGTAACCAGGCAAGGTACAGTGACTCATACCTATGATCCCAGCACTTCTGGACGCTGAGGTAGGAGGATTGCTTGAACCCAGGAGTTCACGACCCAGCCTGGGCAATGTGGCAAAACTCAACATCTACGAAAAAGTAATAACAATAAACAAACACAAAAATTAACTTGACATGGTGGTTTGCACCTCTAGTCCCAGCCACTGGGTAAGCTGATGTAGGAGGATCACTTGAGCCAGGGAGGCTGCAGTGAGCCAAGATTGAAGATGGTGCCACTGCACTCCAACCTGGGTAACAGAGTGAGACCCTACCTCAAAACAAAACAAAACAAAACAACATAATAGGTAGCCACTCTTCTGATGTCTGTCATTAAAACTTATTTTACTGTTTTTTTTTTTTTTACTTTATATAAATAGAACATGCGTAACAAAGAGTGTATACTGACTCGGCAATCTGTCTGAGGGGTGTGCATGTGTAGTTATTTCTCACTGCTGTCTCTATCCATTGGTATGAATATAAACATGATATAGCGTGATGCTATTCATGAACATTTGAGCTGTTTCCAGCTTGGGGCTATTTATGGGAAAAGCTACTCTAAACATTTTCAGCAATATCTTTCCTCTTGGTACTAGGCACTCTTCTCATGAGTACCTAATGTTTGTTCACCGGGTAAGCCTATATTCCTTTTAGTAGATACTGCAAATAGTTTCACAAAATACCCTTTCCAGGTAGATTAGGCTCCCACCAGAGTTAATGAGAGGTCATCTTTGTCAACACTTTGAATTGTCAGATTTTTTTTGAGCCATTTTGGCAGGTGTGCTATCTCATTTTCATTCATTCGCTGTCATTTAAATTTGTACTCAGACGATTCATGGTGCCCACCATTCAGAGACCTTATTTGGAAGATACGTACATAGTAACTTTTGAAGTGTTCAGCCCATTTTGCCTTCCATTGAATGTTCATTTTTTATTAGTTCACAGGAGTTCTTTATATATATTCTGTGTGTTACCCATTGTTGAATAGAGATGCCACAACTACTTCCTACACTGTGGTTTGCCTTTTCGTTCTCTTAATGGTATATTCTGTAACACAGAGTTCTAGTTTCAAGCATTAGTTTTCAGTCTTTTTTTTTTTTTCCTCTATGGTAAGTGCTCTGTGTCTGTGTTTACTGTTTTAGAAATCTTTGATCTCTCCAAGGCCTTCATGGTATTTTTTTTCAAAACAGCTTTTAGAAAAGTTTTTTTTTGTTGTTGATTTTTCTCATTTCAATCCAAAACACCTGGAATGATTTTTGTTTATTGTGTGAGGTAGGGATCAAAGGCTTTTTTAAAATATGGATATACAAGACAAACAATCCATACTTACAAGAAAGATCGTTTTCTGTCATTGCATAGCGAAGAGTTTGTGTCTTCTTCTTCTTCTTCTTTCTTTCCCCACAAATCATGTGAACATGTAAGGGTGGGTTTTCTTCTGCACGCTCTGTTCTGTGACACTGACCTATTTGTCTGTTCTACACCAGTGAGCACGACGCCATGTTCATTGCTACAGTAAAAGACCTCCAATCGTGTTTTATATTCTCAATTTGCCTTCATTATTTTTTATCCTTTTCATTTTTATATACATTTTAGGATCAGCTTTTCAATTTGTAAAATAGAATGGCTGAGATTATGAGGAGTGACACTGAATTTTTAAATCAATTTAGTAGAATAAACTTAATTACAATATTAATTCTGAGAATCCTTCAGTAAGGTATACTGTTTATTTTCTTAAGACTTTCTTAATATCTCTTGGTAATGTTTACAGTTTTCTGTGTAAAAGACCCTTGCATATATTATGTTTATTCCTACAAATTTTATTTTATCTGCTACTATAAATGTTTTCATTTCAAATAGAATTTTTAAGTAGTTCATTAAAGTATGTGGAAACACAATTGATTTGTCACTTTAGCCTTTCATTGGTAACGCTGTTAAATTCAATGACTTATTCTAAGAGTCGATCTCTATATCTGAATACATTTTCTATCTGCACTGTCATGCTCTCTATGCAAAATGACAGTTTCATTTTGTCTTTCCAATTCTCATGCCTTTTCCTTTGTTTGCCTTGTTCCAGTGAAGAGACCGTCCTGTATCCTGTTGTGTACCAATTGTAGTAGACACTGTGGTCTTTCCATCAACAAAGTAAGTTTTTGAAGTTTTATTGTCAAGTGCGATCACCTCTGTGGGGTTTTCTTGGGATATCCTTTATTAGATAAATGAAACCTCCCTCTGTAGTTTGCTACCAATTTTATTTTGAATGCGCGTTGAAAATAAGTGCTCATTTTGTATCTACCGAGATGCTCCTGTGACTTTTAATGGTAATATAATAAATCACATTGAATTTTAAATCTTAGCACACATTTCTAGAATAAGCCCAATGGGGTTGTTGTGTATAATTCTTTTTATATGCCACAGATTTATCTAATATTTTTGCCTGAGAATTTTGTATCTCTGCTTATGAGAATACTCTGCCTGTAGTTTTCCTATCTTACAATGTCTTTGTTAAGCTTTGTTATTCAGATGGCGCTGGCCTCAGGCAGAGAGTCTAGAGCGTTCCTGCTTTTGCCATTTTCTGGTTGAGTTCGTGTACGGTTAGTGACAGTTCCTCTTCAGTGTTTTTAGTGATTGAATGATGCAGTCCTCTGGATTTTTCCTGTTGAGAATGTTTTAAATTACAGGTTCAATTCCATTGCTAAAAGTGGAATTATAAAGATTTTGTACGTCTTGTTTTCGTTGTGGAAAATGGTATTTCTGAGGAATCTGCTCATGTCATCTAGGATTTCAGGTTTTTACTTGCAGAACATTGGTCATAATACTCTCTGCTTCCTAACCAGTGAACACGCAAATACGTTCCTTTAGCTGGAGAATGGAGTCTGGCAGAGGTGACTGAATTGAAGGTCCAGTCATGCTAATATCTCATATGTTCCTTTAGCTGGAGAATGGAGTCTGGCAGAGGTAACTGAATTGGAGATCCAGTCGTGCTAATATCTCATACGTTCCTTTAGCTGGAGAATGGAGTCTGGCATAGATGACTGAATTGGAGGTCCAGTCATGCTAATATCTCACAGGTAAACATCTCCGTTCCAACCCTCTGCCCCGAGCTTGAGACGCTCAACACCCGGGCACAGCGGGGCTCAGCAGGGGTCTCACAATCGTGCATGTTCCTCAGGGAGGAAACAACCCTTGGAGCCTCTGTGTATCTCTCTCCTCTTCTTTTCCTGGCCTCCTGTATCTCAATCAGATCATCATCTACTCAAGTACTTAAGCCACACTTAAATGTTAAATAAATAACTAAAATAAACTTGGGTTTAGTTATTTAACATTTAGTGGCTTCACATTATTGCTGCAAAAAAAAAAAGAAAGAAAGAAAGAAAGAAAGAAAGAAAGAAAGAAAGAAAGAAAGAAAGAAAGAAAGAAAGAAAGAAAGAGAAAGAAAGAAAGAAAAGTGAATTTCTTACCTAGGTATGCAAAAACTTCTAAGACCTGACCTGTAGCCACCCACACCTAGAAGCTCTGGCCTTGACTCTCCCCAGTTCACCCAGGAAGCACTGGACACAGGTCTGTGTCCCCAGTTCACCCAGGAAGCCCTGGACACAGGGCTGTGTTGGGACTGGGATGCCAGTGGCTTCCTCTGCCTGGAAATCTCCTTTCTCTCTCACCACTTCTGAGGCTCCACTTAGGTGCTGTTTTACTGAAAACCCTCCAGGCTGTTCTCTTTGGAAATGCCCCTCTTCTGCCCTTTACCTTCCATCTGAATCAAAGGATGTCTTCTTTCTAACACTCAGTGCAGATCTTCATTTCGTTTGTCCTGCGTTGTGTCTGCAGGCCCCACAGGGCTTGAGTGCTCCAAGGAGGCATCAGTCACATCCCTGACTTCCCCCAGGATATGGAAACCGGGTTCGGAATGCGCTTTCCCAAGGTGGGAGACAACATGAAGAGGGTTAGTTCTGGGTTATGAAATAAAGGGTAATTTTTTTTTTGTTTTCTTTATTAGCCGTTACTAAATAAACCTGCTTGATATAAATCATGCGGCGTTTATGATCAGAAAAACAAAATTGACAGTAAAAATACATAAAAGCAGCATTTATTATGTAAAGTATTAT